AAAGACGAACAATTGTCACAATAATGATAGAAAAATTTTGTATTTTATTTGAAGTAAACATTACGTTGAGGAATCTTTTGCTTTTCTTATGTGGAAAAATTTGTTCATAAATGGGAAAGGAATTTGGCAAGAGAGGAGTGGAAAAGAAAATTCCATGATTCTTGTTCTGTCCTGATTGATTTGTCCTATCATATAGTGATTGGAGAAGAAAATTTTCATTTAATTTGCCTGAGAGTCATATAACACATTATATATATATATATATATATAAATATTCTTATGGTTATATTTAAAAATATTACTGTTGTTGTTTTTCTAAAAATTTTAATAAGTTGAAAAGGAAAAGGATTATATATATGTTTTTGTTTTATTTGGGGTAAAAATATTGTGAGATGAGGAAACTGTTATTTTTTAAATGTTAGAATTTTTCTGTTGATTCGAAAAGACCTTTTGAAAATAAGAGAAATGAGTCGAAAACTCTCCACACAAGTTTCATATGGTTCACTCGTATGCGAAAAAGTTTGCCAACTATGTCTCTAATTTCTAGAATTTGCAACCAAGCTTCAAAAATTGCCGTTCGATTAGGGGTTGAAATTAAAAGTTCAATCCAATTGGCTTATCTTCAAGTTATTGTCTCCATTTGAAGCTTCTGGATTTTTTACGCTTCTTTTCAGTTTTTTCAATGACCTAGAAAGATTTGTGTAGATCAGCGCACTTGATCCAAATCAACATAGTAATTTTGATCAGTGCCATTTATTTTTGCACATTTGGAAAACATATGATATTTGGTGCCCTTGGAAAAAAAGTTTATAAGTCTTTTTGTAAATTTACTTTTTATATTTTTTAAATAGCAAGTGTCCCACTATAAAATGTAAACGGACTTTATGTTATTTTAGTAGTTGCATCATTTTCACTCTAATTTTGCATTTTTATGTGCATTTTTGAACCTCCAAAAAGCATATGATGTTTGGTGCATTTTATGTAAAAGTTAATGAGTTTTTCTGCACACTTGGCTTTTTTTAAAAAAGATAATAATTTGTGTTACCTTTTTTATTGCGGGTTCTATCTTCATCAACCATTTTTTCATTGTAGGTCCCGTATCCACTTTTTTATTGGGGCTTTACATTCTCCTTTATTCTTTTTGACTATGTCAAAATTGAAAAATTCTATGTAAAATAAAATTAAAACCAAAAGAAAATAGGTGCTCATCCAACCAAAATTATAAAGGAAAGAGAGTTTACTAAAATATTTATTTAAATATTATGCTGTTTTTTGTTTAAGATTCATTAAATTGACGACAAAAAAAGCGTTGATTGTTAAATTATGAGAATAGTTAATCATTTTAAACACTAACCTGCATTGATCTTAGTGAAAGAGATTTTGATCGCTTAAATATGAGATGTTGAGTTTAATTTGAGTTCATGTGAATTAAAAAAAAAACATCTTTTAGAGAGTTATTCTCAATTTGTCCTTCTAGATAGTCATATAAACGTTTTGAACATCAACTTCAATTAAGAAAAATATTTTTAGAATTTGTTACCGAAACATTATTAAAAAATGTTGAAAATATATATTAAAATTAAGGTTGTGAACATATTTGAAAGGTTTTTGTAATTTTAGCAAAATTGAGGTAGATCAAGTGTTATACTGAAAAAATTGATGTTGATAGTCACACATCATTTGATGATAAATACTAAAGAAGACTCACAAAAGATGATCACTTTAAAACGGACAAAAGAGATGAACAATTGTCATAGTAGTGATAGAAAATTTTTTGTATTCTATTTGTAGTAAAAGTCAGGGTGAGGAATCTTTTACTTTTCTTGTGTGGAAAAATTTGTTCATAATTTGAAAAGGAATTTGGCAAGAGAGGAGTGGAGAAGAAAATTCCATGAGTCTTGTTCTATCCTGATTGATTTGTCCTATTGTATAGTGATTGGCGAAGAAAATTTCCATTTAATTTGCTTGACAGTCATATGACACATTATATATATAAATATTCTTATGATTATATTCAAAAATAATATTCATTTGAAATTATTGCTGTTGTTATTTTTTTGAAAATTTTAATCAGTTCAAAAGAAAAAGGATTATATATACGTTTTGTTTTATTTGGGTTGAAAATATTGTGAGATGAGTAAACTATTATTTTTTTAAATGTCAAAAAAATTTTCTATTGATACGAAAAGACCTTTTCAAAATAAGAGAAATGAGTCGAAAACCCTCTACACAAGTTTTGTATGGTTGACTTGTATGCAGAAAAAGTTTGCCAACTATGTCTCTAATTTCCAGAATTTGCAACCATGCTTCTAAATTTGCTGTTCGACTAGGGGCTTCTATTTTTGTTGCAATTAAAAGTTCAATCCAATCGAGTTTTTAAGGGCATGGTAGAGAGTAGATGAAGCTATTGGCTCATCTTCAAGTTATTGTCTCCATTTGAAGCTTCTGGATTTTTTACGCTTTTTTTTTAATTTTTTCAACGACTTGGAAAGATTTGTGTAGATCAGCGCACTTGATCTAAATCAGCATAGTAATATTGATCAGTGCAATTTATTTTTGCACATTTGAAAAACATACGGTATTTGGCACATTTTTAAAAAAAAATTTTACAAGTATTTTTGTAAATTTACTTTTTATATTTTTTAAATAGCATATGTCTCACTATAAAAAGTAAACGGACTTTATGTTATTTTAGTAGTTATATCATTTTCACTCTAATTTTGCATTTTTATGTGCATTTTTGAACCTCCAAAAAGCATATGATGTTTGGCGCATTTTATGTAAAAGTTAATGAGTTTTTCTGCACAATTAGCTTTTTTAAAAAAAAATAATTTGTGTTACCTTTTTTATTGCGGGTTCTATCTTCATCAGCCATTTTTTCATTGTAGGTCCCGTACCCACTTTTTCATGGGGGCTTTACATTCTCCTTGATTCTTTTTTACTATGTCAAAATTGAAAAACGCTATGTAAAATAAAACTAAAGCCAAAAGAAAATAAACATTGGATGGGTGCTCATCCGACCAAAATTATAAGAGAAAGAGAGTTTACTAAAATATATTTAAATATTATGCTGTTTTCTATTTAAGATACATTAAATTGACGACGAAGAAAGTATTGATTGTTAAATTATGAGAATAAGGGGGTGTTTAGATGAAATCAAAACCATGATTTTAAAAGCACTTTTACGGCATACAAAATAAATATATAGAAGAGTTTACCTCGTTTTATGAAAAAGTGGGTGCTTCCAAACACCCCCAAGTTAATCATTTTAAACACCAACCTACATTGATTTCGGTGAAAGAGGTTTTGAATGCTTAAATATGAGATGTTGAGTTTAATTTGAGTTCATGTGAATAAAAAAAAAATCTTTTAGAGAGTTATTCTCAATTTGGCCTTCTAGATGGTCATATAAACGTTTTTAACATAAACTTCAAGTAAGAAAAATATTTTTAGAATTTGTTACCAAAACATTATTAAAAATATTTGAAAGGTTTTTGTAATTTTAGCAAAACTAAGGTAGATCAAGTGTTATACTGAAAAAAATTAATGTTGATAGTCACACATCATTTGATGACAAATACTCAAGAAGACTCACAAAAAGTGACCACTTTAAAAGGGATAGAAGAGATGAACAATTGTCACAGTAGTGACAGAAAAATTTTTGTATTCTATTTGAAGTAAACATTAGGGTGAGAAATCTTTTACTTTTCTTATGTGAAAAAATTTGTTCATAATTTGAAAAGGAATTTGGCAAGAGAGGGATGGAGAAGAAAATTCCATGATTCTTCTTTTGTCGTAATCGATTTGTGCCATCATATAGTGATAGTGGACGAAAATTTCTATTTAATTTGCCTGACATTCATATAAGACATTATATATATAAATATTCTTATGATTATATTTAAACATAATATTCATTTAAAATTATTTCTGTCGTTGTTTTTAAAATATTTTAATTAGTTGAAAAGGAAAAAGATTATATATGCGTTTTTGGTTTGTTTGAGATGAAAATATTGTGAGATGAGGAAACTTTTATTTTTTTTAATGTGAAAAATTTTTCTGTTAAATTTAAAAAGAGCTTTGGAAAATAAAAGAAAAAATGAGTCAAGAACCCTCCACACAAGTTTCGTATGGTTAACTCGTATGAAAAAAGTTTGCCAACTATGTTTTTACTTTCCAGAATTTGTAACCATGCATCTAACATTATAAATATAAATATTAATTGAGTAAATTTATTCATGATAATTTGACTAATTTGTTTGTAGGAAATCCTATGAAGTCCAACACTAGTACAAGAAACCCTTTGGATCCAACAAACAAGTTGGGTAGAGAAATCATTTGTAATTATCACAGAAGGGACAATGGAAAGCTCCGTGCGTATTCACTCATTTTTCATGAAATTAGAAAAAGAGTTTATTATAAGAAAGAATATATGAACATATTTTTTTAATTAGAATCAATTATAATATTTATGAAGATTTATCAATTAAATTTTATTTATTAACACTTAATTAAATTGTCAAAGGCAGATTCTTCAAGATTTATCACTCATACATATATAAAAAAGCATAAACACCTTACTTATATAAAAAAAAAAAAAGTACATATGTAAGTATATATTGTATACCAAGATTAGCTGTACTGTTCCTTTAAATTATTTTCATCAATTTATACGTATGTACGTGATTTGCTAATAATAGCAATAATGTTTTATAACTTTTACAGTCATACTTGGAGACGAATATAACAATTAAAATTACTTAAATCCATGATTTTTTAAGGAAATGATGAGACCTATTAGGCTGCAACTTTGCATAAATAATAAAGAATTATGTATGCCTTTTACATACATAATCGTCTCAAGTTTCACATCTCACTGTCATCCTGTATTGACCAAGACGCCTATAGAATGAACGCATTGCCAGGAAGTCATTCACTGTTATGTGAAAATTTTGCTTAAACCCCCACTTTCTGACACTATAAATACCAGTAATTTTGTGTAGAGTTGTAAGCCAGCTCTAGTAAAGAAACTAATCATGGGTCTGTGCGAAAATACCATATTGTTCATTTTGATTTGCTCACTCACCTCATCACTAAATCTCTTATGCAAATGCAAAGCATTTGATCAAGTTCTTTGCATTCCTAGTAAGCGACAAGCCCTGCTTAATTTCAAGCAACATCTTCATGGTCCTTCAAACAGCCTTGCCACTTGGTCTGATGATAACACAAATTGCTGCAACTGGACATCAGTTTCTTGCAATCATGAAACAGGTCACATTCTTGAACTTCACCTTTCAGCTTCAATTAGTTACTTGTATGAGGGTGAAATACATCCTTCGATACTTCAGTTGAAAGAACTAAGTTACTTGGATTTGAGTAGAAACTATTTTGGAGGCATGTAGTTTCCAAGTTTCCTTTGTTCAATGAAGAGCTTGACATATTTGAACCTCTCTTATGCGGGATTCAGTGGAAGCATTCCTCACCAAATAGGAAATCTCTCTGGTTTGCTCCATCTTGACCTTGGAGGAGATAATTATTTTACTAGAAAGATTCCCCATCAAATTGGTAATTTATCAAATCTACTCTATCTCGATCTCTCTGGTGGTGATCAATATGACGTGGATCGGATATCATTGTATGAAGAAAATCTGCAGTGGATATCATCTCTTTCTTCACTTTAATATCTTCAATTGAGTGTTGTTAATCTGTCTAATGCCTTTGATTGGTTGCTTGTTTTGCAATCTCTTCCCTTATTGACAGAGTTACACCTACAAGAGTGTGCTCTTCATCACAATTTCCATCTAGCCATTGCCATAAACTTTTCATCTCTAACAATCATTGACCTTTCCTTTTCTTTTGATTTTGGATCTCCTTCCATTCCAAAGTGGATTTTTCAGCTAAAGAATTTGGTTTCTCTTAAATTAACCGGCAATAATTTGCAAGGATTCATACCAAATGGTATGAATAACCTCTCTCTCATTGAAGATCTTGATTTGTCTGAAATTTTTTTTAATTCTTCTATCCCTGATTGCTTATATACTTTGAACCATCTCAAGTCTCTTGATCTTTCTTTAAACAATTTGCATGGAACAATTTCACATGCAATTGGAAATTTGACTTCTATGGTTACTCTTGCTTTGTCAGTCAATCAATTGGAAGGGCCATTTCCAAACTCTTTAAGCAATCTCTGTAACCTAGGAAGTGTTTATCTCTCTGACAATAACTTCAATCAACAAGTTTCTGAGTTAATAGAAATAATCTCTAATTGTGCTTCTCTCACACTCAAGGTTTTGTCAATTGGTAGTTCAAAAGTTTATGGTAATTTGACAGTCCAAATTGGGATTTTCAAAAGTCTCTGTCACCTTTCTATCTCTAACAATTCTATTAAAGGTGCAATTCTTATATCTTTAGGAAATCTTACCTCTTTGAAATATCTCCAACTTTGGGGAAATAAATTTGATGGGAATCCTTTCGATGTTTTGCAATCACTTTCTGAATTAGAAGATCTTGATATCCATGATAATCTTTTCTATGGAATTGTAAATGAACATCACCTCGCTAATTTCGCTAAATTAAATTTTTTCCCCGCATTAGGAAACAGACTTACTTTAAAAGTAGGTCCCAATTGGAAGCCATCTTTTCAAAAGTTGATCTCCTTGGACACGGCCTTATGGCATTTAGGTCCCCACTTTCCATCATGGATTCGATCACTGAAAAATCTTGTGGAGTTGTCCATACCTAACACCAACATCTCTGATTCTATCCCCACATGGCTGTAGGGTGCTCCCCTATGCTTTTTTTTTATTTTTTATTTCTCTAACAATGATATCCATGGAGAGCTTTCTTATACATTGAAGAATCCCATCAATGTCAACACAATTGATTTAAGCTCAAATCGCTTAAGTGGTCCTTTACCACACATATCACCAATTGTGGAAGACTTAGACCTCTCAAATAATTGGTTTTCTGGATCTATAGCCTCCTTCTCATGTCAGGAAAAGGAAGAGCCAATGATGTTAGAATATCTCAATTTAGCATCAAATAATTTGTTAGGTGAAATACCTGATTGTTGGAAGATGTGGTTAGATAATCTAATGATCGTCAAGTTTGATAATAGCCATTTCAATGGGAAGTTGCCCACATCCTTGGGATCCTTACCTTGGTTGTACTCATTGCAACTCCGTAACAACTCTCTTTCAGGAAATTTTCTTGTTTGTTTCAAGAATAGTACTAAATTGGTAATTTTGGATCTTAGAGAGAATCAATTTTCAGGAATCATTCCACCATGGGTTGGAGACATTCTCTTAAATTTGAAGATCATTCTCCTCGGATCAAACCAATTCAATGGTAAGATTCCCAATCAAATATGCTCTTTGAATTCCCTACATATCTTGGATCTTGCACAAAACAACTTGATGGGACAAATACCAAAATGCATCAATCAATTGAGTGTTATGCTAGTAAAGAATACCACTCTAGAATCGTACATCCATGGCTTAGAAAATGGTGCTGAAAGAGCTGTAATTGATGTGCTTCTAGAGCTGAAAGGAAGAGATGATGTATATACTTTGCTAGACCTCGTCACAAGCATAGATCTCTTTGGTAATAAATTATGTGGGGAGATACCAAGTGAAATTACATCTTTCAAGGGGTTGCATTTCCTGAACTTGTCAAACAATCTTTTGAGTGGTAAGATTCCTCAAAATATTGGAAACATGGAATGGTTGGAGTCAATGGATCTCTCAGAAAATCAGCTTTATGGTGAAATCCCATCAAGCATGTCCAATTTGAATTTCTTGAGCAAGTTGAACTTGTCATCCAACAATCTGATGGGGAAAATTCCAACAGGCACTCAATTGCAAAGCTTTGAAGCATTAAGTTTTGTGGGCAACGATCTCTGTGGTCCTCCACTACAAAAGAATTGCGATGATTTGCAAAATATCCCAAACCGCCATAATGACAAAGAAGGTAAGAGAAATGGGGTCAATTGGTTTTATGTGAGCATGTCTCTGGGATTTGTTCCATGATTTTGGATAGTTGTTGGTCCTTTGCTCTACAGTAGATCCTGGAGGTATACTTACTTTCGATTCATAGACTGCATGTGGTACAAATTTCGATATTGTTGGTGGTGAGAAGGGGGGGGGGGAAGAGTTGTGTGATTGTAGTTGTGGCTTTTTACAAGCATCTTGCATGTTGTTGCTTCTGTTTGTCATTAATTACTTGGGCTTTTGAATAATATGAGCCTTGTTAGGATTTTGCTTTCTAGCAAGAATATATAATATATATATATATATATATATGTGTGTGTGTGTGTGTGTGTTTGATAATGTATTGCTATATTGAAGAAAGGGTCTCCAATTTGTTCATTGCTTCTTGGCCAAAGCTATAGTTGAATAATAGCTTTTGCAAAAAGAAAAAAAAAAGATAAAGAAAATAGAAAAATGACATACGGCATAGTAGGACGTTGGACATAGGTGGCCAATCTACTAACCTTTGCAAGCGAATGTATGAAAAATTAAATTTCAATTTGGATTTAAAAAAGAATTCAAAACATATCTAACCTCACTGGATGGCATGTGAAGTGTGTTTTTTAAATTACATCCCTCTATTTATTTATTTTTTCATTAAGTAAGTTGATCTTTTCCATCATTATTTTGACGCTTTTTTTTTGTATCCAATCTCATTTGGATAAAAGAATATATATTTAAAAGCTTAAATTAATTTATTGACTTAAAATTATTGTTTTCATATTTAACATGTTATAGTCAGCTTCATTATTTTTATCTCTTAATTTTACTGAAAACTTCAATTAATTTCTAAACTGACATTTTATCAAAATAATTCATGAATTTATATTGCATCTTATAAAGGTCTTAATTTTTTTTATATGTTTAAAATTACGTATGTTTGCTATCTAATTATTCTACTTGAACAGTAAATCCAAATGGCATATGAATGCGAACAACTTATCACCCGAAAAAAAAAAAGGAACAATACAGTCAAAATCCAAAATGAAATTTAAGGACGAATGTGACCAACTAAGGTTTAAATAAATTTTTGTTGGGAGAGGTATCCATATTTAATGTTTAACAATGCCTCAAAAAAGATTGCTTCCAAATAAAGAAATACATGTACTTAAAACAAAATATTTTAGAATTGTTATCAAAATATTATTAAAAATGTTAAGAAATTTATTAAAATTAAGGTTGTGAAAATATTTGGGAGGTTTTTCTAATTTTAGCAAAATTAAGCTAGAGAAAGTCTTATACTAACAAAATTGATATTGGTATAAAAGAATATTTACAAAAAAGTGAAGACTTTAAAAAGGGCAGAAGAGATGAGGAATTACCATAACAATGATAGAAAAAAATTTAATTTTATTTGAAGTAACCATCACGGTGAAGAGTCTTTTACTTTTTTTATGGGGAAAAAGTTGCTCATAAGAGGGGTGGAAAAGAAAATTCGGTTATTCTTGTTGTTTGTGTTGAATACTATTTTGATTTTAGTTAATAATTATATCTAACATAACAACTAATGGATTATAAAGCATTTATCAACAGAAATTATTTTTGGCCCCAAAAAAAAAAAGAACAAGAGAGTATATGCGTAAAAATATTTTGTGATTATATTTCGAAATACTATTCCCTTAAAACTATTGTTGTGAATATTTTTAAAGTATCTTAGTTCAAAATAAAAACTTATATATATTTGTTTTATCTAAGGTGAAAATCAAGGAACTGAAAATTGGACCAGTTGAGGCAAAGGGTCAAGTATCAATGGGTCAGACCAGAGTTAACCCAAGGTTAAACAGGTGAGAAATAAAAAACTGAAAAATAATTTAAATTTTTATCATACCATCTAAGGGCTAAATATTAGTTCATTACCTTAAATTATAAACAAAATAATCACATACTTACAATTTCTTTTCGATCTTTTTTATAATTTCTTTGACAAATTCACATCATATTATTGTATTAAAAAGATCGCTATACATTAATCCTAGCAAAATATCAAACTAAGATATAGGATAACAAAATATTCCTGCCTATAGTCTATTAATCACAAAACTAATAATTACCAATAGCTTAAGAAAAAAGAAAAAGTTTTTGGCTCAAAATAGCTTTTTTTAATTGAAAAACAAAGAGCGATCAGGTTGACCCACCAACCCACGTGGGTTAACTAGGTTGCTCCCGATTTGGTCCAGTTTACATCCGGGCACCTCCTTCCAAGTCAATTTGATTCCGGTCTACATACTTAATCGCACTAGTTACTTGACCGGTTTGTTAATTTTAGTGCTGAACTAGCGGTTTCATTTTTCATACCATAGTGAAAATATTATGAGATGTGGAAACTTTTATTTTTCTAATGTGGAAAATTTTTCTCTTATATTGAAAAGACTTTTGAAAAATAAGAGGATCGACCAAAAAACCTCAACAACTTTTGTGCAGTTGACTCATTTTGATATGAAAATATAGAAAGTTAGTGTGTCTATAATTGGTGGAAAAAGTTAGCCAGTAAGCCAACTACGTTTCTACTTCTCAAAATTTGTAATAATCTAACATTAAATAACATAAAAAATATTAAATAATTTTATTCAATAAAATTTGAATAATTTGTCAGTAGGAAATCCTATAAAGGCCCAAGTGCGTTCGGAGAAATTCTTTGGATCCAACAAAAACATTAGGTGAAGGGAAGTCATTTGTAGTTATCATCAGAGCTTCGTACTACATATTCACTCATTTTTAATGAAATTTCAAAGAGTTTATTATA